AGGACCTCATGAAATAGCAGCATAAACTCGAGTATGAACTCAAATACTGGTAATGAGTCTCAGAAAAGTGTGTATTCCAGCTCTGTCCACTGCAAAGGCCTTGAAGCAAGGAACATTATCAGTTGTGATAAGTATCCCTAGTGGCCACATTATGGGCTCTAAAACAAACCAGAGCCCCTTGGAGAAATAGATGGTTCCAGATCTGGGGTGCAATATGGCAAAGATGTGTCTGGAACATCTTGTAGTACCCCAAAGCTAGGCTATATGTTGAAGTTATGGACTCAAGAGAGCAGTGTGAAAGGGCTCACAAATGTAGCACAATGAATATTAATGGGATAATGAGCACAAGGATTTGAATTGCCAATGCAGTAACACCCTTAAGTATACTAAATACTAAAAAAAAAAAAAAAAAAAAAAAAATCGCAAAAGGGTCCTTGGTCACTGTAAGTGACTGAAAATGGGTCAGCAACCCAGCACCCTGAAAAGGAAAGAATAAAGCATTGATTCTAAGTTTTGTGTCTAAACCACATTTCAGGAAAATGAAGTAGTCCACAGCTATTCTTTATGGAAGAATTCCAAGCAATAAATGTAGAAAAATTTAAAAGTAGAAAAATCACCATTTGCAACACCTAATGAATGAATGAATTCAGGCAACAACCCTCACTGGCGGCTAAAACTATTATGTGAAGGCTGATCTGTCTGGTGAACATGCACTATGACTCTCCTGGGACAAGATCTGGGTTACATCAGTTGTGTTATCAGCATTACTAATACTACATCTTCCTGCACCCCCTCTTCATTTGTAATGAATGTGGAAGGCTAATAACACCTGAAACAGCTGCTCAGTCTTCACAGCACAATGAAAAAGACACAGAGACATCTGTGCCTCCTGATGGACTATGGGTACAATAAGAAGTATGAAGCAGCACCTATGACATGTTATTGCCGCCGAGTCAAGCCTGAATTGGTGAAGCCTCAGGCTCTATCAGCCCAGAGTCAACAGCAGCAACAAGAATGTGCTAAGAAACACAGCAGGGGTGTGATCTGCCAGATCCAGGATTTCTGAAATTCAGTGACACAATGACCTAGTGTCTTCAACAAATCAAAGAAAGAGAAAAGGGAAGGGAGAACTGATATGCAGTTTTTAAAAATATATAAAACATGTCAAAGAAACACAGCCTGGACATCTTTCTTGCATTCTGATTTGCATAAAGTTGATAGTGAAAAGACATTTAAAAATACAGGATACATACATTGCAAAAATGACCTCTGCATCGCTAATATATGGGAATATGAAATGTGCTGCCGCTCTCCTCAAATAACGTTTTCCCAGTAAATGGCATTTACTTTTAATTTTTTCCTCTTTCTTTTTAATATATTTGTTTCAGGCAGGCTCTCAAAGGAAAGATGATGGGAAGAGTCCCTGTACCAGCTTGGTACCTGGTTGAAGTGTCACCAGGTGCTTTTGAAGAAAGAAGGCTCACGAGAAGACATGGCACATTGTTGAGGAGGTTTGTCTTTAGTACGCAGTCCTGGCCCAGTCCTTTTCCCCAACGTCTGGCTAACTGTGGACCTCCTCATCTGACCCTCAATCTTGCAGGACCCTCCCACCTCCATCCATCCTCACACAGCTGCTTCCTCCATTCTCTCCCTCCTCCCTTCCCACATTCAGAAAACACACACACAAACACATTTTCAAACTCGTTGATTTTGTTTTAATCACCCCCCTGCCTGTAAATGGTGGAGTATGGATTGGCCTCTAAGCAGTTAAAATAAAACATCGAACATATTTTCAGTAACTAGCAATAAGAGTAAAGTTAACTAATTCCAAATATATTCTGATTCTCATAGTCATTAAATCACGTTTCCAAGTGAAGATTTTAAATGTTGTCTTACACAAAAAAATGTGCCCACTACAAAAAGTGTAAGAATTAATCAAGCTTCTAGATGAACATACAATGAAATAAATACCCATACACTCACCGAAACTCAAACTTGAAATAATTTTGTGGTTAATTTATCTATAGAGGTAGGTGTTGAAATATTTAAACAGTAAGACGTGTATGTATATGTTAATGAAACATTTTTAATCAATGCTAAGGGGAGGGGCCATTTAATAGTAAAACAACAGTATTTAAATGACATGTTGATGTCTTTGGGGAAATGACAGATTCACAAACTCATGTGTCAGCACTGATAGTTATGCCTTTTCCAGTTGTACTAATGCTGTCAGCCATTTTAATTCACTCGAGAATGCAAAGTCAAGTTGTTGTTAGTAACTTTTATAAGGCACTAGCATAGATTTTCTTCTGAAGTCTTATTTTAATGGGCTCTGTAACCTAGTGAGAAAACAAAAGGATACACGTATAAAGAAGATTTTGTATTCTTTATTCTTTTTTTCCCATGAGGAAGAACAATGCAACATTCCATACTTGTGCTTTCCACCTTTGGGGATTATTGATACAGACTTGCTGGGGCCAAAACCTAAAATTAAATCGACTTATTGCTAAAGGTTAATTGACAGTGTTAGGGAGAAAAAGTCTCCATTGCCACCAGAGGGTTGAAAGCTTGATACACATAACTGTGGAATTGCTGCTACCCACATAACTGTTTAGGATTCATTAGCGGAAAAATGTTCTCGCACTTAACGGACAAGCTGATGGTAAACAAGATGTACTGATTTCAACTAGAAATTTGTAAACCACTGCAATGTAGCTAATGTTATACTCATATCACATAACTTTGGTTCAAGTTCTTTCTTCATAATAGCAGGCATTGAAGAGACTTTCGAATATTTGCCAGTTCTTGCCGTTGCTGTTTCAGGAAAGGAAATATTATTTAGGCAACTGTTGTACACATTTCAGCAAACAAAATCCCCCAATGCTCACATCCCTCCTCAGTTCTTAATATGAAGTACACACTACTTACAACATCCGCCACGATTTTCCTTCGCAATTTGGCCATTTCTTGTCTAAATTCTTTTCCTTCATTGGTAGCAAGACAGCTCTGATTCTCCTCAAAGGACTGCACATCCTAAAACAAAAGGCCAAGTTCAGGTATGAACCACCACTTTTCATCTCACATTCTAAACATGTGCAATTAAATCTCAAAACGAACAACTCTTGTTTGTTTTTAGATTTGAAGAGTGAGTTAATTCATTTATTTATTTAGAGAGAGGGGGAAGGAGGGAGAAAGAGAGGGAGATGTGCCAGAGATACATCGATAGGTTGCCTCTCGCACACCCCCAACCGGTAGCCTGGCCCACAACCCAGGCATGTACCCTGACCGGGAATCGAACCAGCGATCTTTTGGTTTGCAGGCCGGCGCTCGGTCCACTGAGCCACACCAGCCAGGGCAACTAACAACTCTTAATATTCACAGGATGCTCCTTATTTATTCTAAATAAAAATACTATAACAAATGCATGTAGATCAAAATAGCCACTTAATTTTTTTTTTTAATTTCATAGTTACCATTGGAGAAGTGCAATGGTAGTGCATTTTATTGGAAAAAATGGGATAATGAATGAACAGTTAACGTCAAAGTGGAGCAATAAAAGGCAAAAAAAAAGAAAAAAAAAAAAAAAAGAAAAAAACAACGAGACAAAGACTGGTAGTCCCACATCATGGAATACCCTAATTTGAAAACTTCCTAATAAGCTTTCTAAACACCAGGTAACAATGTTCTCCTAAGTGGCTGATAATCAATATAACACGGTTCCATTGGAGAGAATAAAATGATCTGTAATAGCACCTCTGAAAGTTATGAAAAGGAAACATCTTCTAAATCTTTCCTCTTCATTCAACAAATAGTCATCTAGTGCATCCTATACAAAAAGTACTCTGTTAAGTGCTGTGGGGGAACTTAAAGGAATACACTATCTCTTATTCCAGTGAGCATAAAAAAACATGTAAATAAAAATAACACCAAAAATTAAAATTGTGTTTAAGTAACAATTAAGGCAACCACATCTTACTGTGACTATGTAGTGAAAAACAAGATTGATTATTATATAGTTGGCATGAGAATGAGATTTCAGGAAGTAAAGGAAAGAAGGAATTAAAAGTGTTCTAGGGAAGCCCTGGCCGGCATGGCTCGGTTGGTTGGAGCATTGTCCCGCAGACCAAAGGGTCGTGGGTTTGATTCTCAGTCAGGGCACATACCCAGGTTGTGGGTTTGATCCTCATTCAAGGCACCTACAAGAACGCAACCAATGGATATTCTCTTACTCTCTCTCACATCGATGTTTCCTTCTCATCCTCTGTCTTTCTCTTCATCTCCCCCTTCCTCTCTCTTCTAAAGCAGTGAAAAAAATAATCTCCTCGGGTGAGGATAAAAGAAAAAAAAACATTCTTGGGGAGGAGTATAAGCAAGGGAAGTAATGGTGAGTTATTTCAGAGAAAACATCTAATCCGGAGGGGTGGGAGAAAAGAAAGAATGTAAGTATGAAATTACAAAGGGAGTCTTGTTATGGGGCAGATGATGAATACCTGAGAATTTAAAATGGGAAGCTAATGACGGGTTTTCAGGATGGAAGACGTACGTTTTGGAGGATGACGTTGCAGAACTGCGAAGAATGGACTGGAGAAGAGACAAATCAAGGTAGGAATTTAACAGTACAAGCCAGGAATGATGAGGTCCTGAACTCGGGCAGCAGCAGTGGGAATTTAAAGAAAGAAATTAAAGTACAATTGCAGCGACATCTTCTCAGGCAGCAGTGACAGCAGCCACTCCTTGAGTTTCGCTATGCTGCGTAAGGATGACGAGAAGAAAGATGCTGGAAAGTCGGCCAAGAAAGACAAAGACCCAGTGAACAAATCTGGGGGCCAGGCCAAAAAGAAGTGTCCTGAAGCCAAAGTTCAGGACAAGCTCAATAACCTAGTTTAGTTTGGCCTAGTCTAGGTTATTGTTACATGTGACAAACTCTGGAAGGAACTTCCCAACTAAAAGCTTATCACCCCAGCTTGTTGTCTCTGAGCAACTGAAGCTCCACAGTTCCATGGCCAGGGCAGCCCTTCACGGGCTCCTTGGTGAAGGACTTGCTCAACTAGTTTCAGAGCACAGAACTCAAGGAATTTACACCAGAAACAGCAAAGGTGCAGATGCCCCAGCTGTTGGTGAAGATGCGTGAACAACAGGTCCCACTGGCTATACATTTTGAAAAATAAAACTTTATTAAATCAGTAAAAAAAAAAAAGGTACAATCACAGAGGTAAAGATTTCAGGGCCTAGTAGTAACTGGATAGGAAGGATGAGGGACTCTGGAAGAGTCAGAGACAACACTAAAGTTCCACCTCCAAGTGCTGACACTTAGTGATAATCTGTAGAAGAAGTCTTCCTTAGCACTCTACCCAATCTTCACACCAATTAATAACTGGTTCCCAGGGAACATTAGAGCAACGTGTTGTCTATCTGGAAATACTTGCAAGATAGCTGTTTCATAGATATACTTCTAAAACGCTAAGAGAATATTTATTTTAAAACTCCTTTACCACTTTACTTAAACCATCTCAAGTAGTTTAGAAGAGTGACATAGTAACATGTATGTGAACAAGTTTAATAAAAAGAACATCCCATCCAAAAAAGAAGGGGGTATATCCAGGATTCTAAATAACTACGTATCTGTATAAAGCAGAGGATAATGTCATGAGGACAATCTGCTCCTGTGAGAATGAGACAGTAAATGATTCTCAATTCCTAAACTCTTTGCCCTCCTGAGGCTTTTTCATACTGTCATGCATCCGGGCCTTCTCCTGTGATTGGAAGTTTGCATGTAAAGCCATTCTTAGTCACGATAGAAATTCTAACAGCAAATCTGCCATAAGACACTCATATAGTGTACTTGAAAATAAAAGAGGTATTCAGTCATTACAATTGCTACTTCCTATTTTACATAGACCGGTGAGGCAACAGAAGTGAAAGGCACTGGAACCTAATCATAGACTTTTTATGATCCACAATATAGCCATCGCTAATCTCCTCCTGAAAAAATGATCACTGAATACAAAATTATGATTAAAGCATCACTTGAAATCATAATGTCTCTATTTCTAGGCAATATTCCCATTTTATCACTTCTTGTTTAATAATATCACAAACCTCTTAATAAATCCTACAGAGAAAAATAAAGTTAGCACTCACGTTAAACCGAGAACAGTAAATCCAAATGGAAAATAGCTAAGAATTTAAAATGCATAACCAAAATTTTGTTCCCATAAATTATGAAACAATTTAACTGCTACTTCAAAACAGACATTATGTTTTATGAGAATGTATTGTGTTACCAAATCCAACAGACCTTTAAGAACTGGTCATATAAGTTTTTAATTTTTCTCAGTCTCTGGCCCTGAACAGTCCTAGCTTTTTGAAAAAGATCTCGTTGCTTGTGGAACAAAATCTGCAAGTGGAAAAGAAAAAAAGCTGAGGTAAAATGTGGTTAATGTAACAGCTAGCAAAACGTAATTCTGCATTCAGTTAAAAGGATTGTTCTGTAAGTCAGCACTTTCAACAGATTCTGTGTTACCTTTTCTAACACAGTCCAGACATTTGTGCTCACCAGTAAAATACAAAAAACACAATAATAGTATACATCAGTCCTCGAGAAGAAAATTTCCCTCCGTACCCATATTCAAAACACACGTCTCACCAGGACATAGTTATGTATGGACCCTGGTAAGGACATACATAGTTATTAAATACAATAATTCCTGGTAGCTTCAAAGTCCTTTTATGGCCCTTACAATCAACTCTTCAGCAAAACTAAGTGAAAACTATGCAATGGTCTCACTTAGAATTTAGGTGGAAAAAATTCTTTCCTAACAATATTCAAAGCATATAATAATTATTGGTCATTCAACATCCACACAGATGACTCTTCCAATAACGCAGACCTTTGAGTTCTTTGACCTAATCTCCAGAAACAATTTTGTCTTCTTCCCTAGTTTGGCCATTCACTGACATGTCTGTACCCTAGACTCTGTCATCCCCAACAACTGTAATACCTACATAGTGTGAAGGAGAGCAGCCTTACATAGGAACTGTGTGTCAGGTCACGTCCGGAAAAATTTTAAATGAACTTATTATATATAGGACCTCATTTATCCTCAAAACAAACCTATGATATAGGGACTCTTATTATGCCCCTTCATAGACGAGGACACTGAGACACGAAGATACATAATCTGCCCGTGGCACCACAGCTAGTCACTAATTAGTCAGCCAATCAGAATTGGATCCCAAACATTATTATGGTTCCACGGCCCAGGGTCTTGACTGCTCTATATTATATGCTTTTTCGCTATTTCCTCCAACATTCATCCTCTACTTCCCTATGTTTCTTGCTCATTCCCTTTCCCACTACAGCTAAGTACTTATCAAGAACTAACACCGATTGAATCCAACTCTTGTCAGTGCCTCCTATTGCATCCTATGTCTTCACTTTCCTCCTTCCCGGCTAAATTCCATGGTCGATCATAAACCTACACCCTTGCATGTATTCCTGGTCCCCTTCTCACTCTGTCCATGTGCGTGTATAAACCCCACCCTGAAAAATTCAACCCTCCAGCTGCTCTGCCACAGCACTGCATGCTAGTCTCAGGATGGACTCGAATCATGATGACACTAGCCCAAGTTGGGCCCATAATGAGGCTTGGCGATGATATTTCCCAAGTCCATTCACTGGCCCCCTCCTAGGAAACATTTCCACTTCTTGTCCTCTGCCCTCAAAAAGCAACACTTCCTCCACTATCCTTCCTCCTCAATGTGATCAGGTGAGTCCATTAAGAGCGACCCATGCCCCGACCACAGTGACTGGTTCAGGAATGAGCAAACGATCCAAACTGGGTGAGTGATACTCCTCTGGAGGACTTTCTTGCCAAAGATCGTGTCAGTCCACTGGGGTCAGTAACCTGCTGGTGAATCTAAGATTGGAAGTCGAGATTCTGACCCCATGGGGAGAGCCTGAATGGAGCTGGAGACAGAGCCCACATGACACTGCCCGAGCAACCTTTTCCCAGCCGCATCCAGATATACCTGGAGCTGAACTCACCTTGCCTTCTTGAGATAACACAAGGCATTTATCTCTTGCACTTTGGCAAATTTCTGTTACTTGGAACTGCAAGAATCTCAACCAAGAGAGGAAATAAAGACCAAGGCCTTTTGAGAGCATGGTGGATGCCTGCACTGCTCTGATTTTCTGTGATCAGGGCCCAACCACATAGCCAGCAATGGGAACAGGACCCTGGCTCAAGTCTACGGGTCTAAGACATGGCCAGGCTCTCTACTGCTGCTTGAGACTTGCTTACAACAAGCTAATTACAAAGCTAAGCCTGATACCGACAATCAGTTTTTCTTCTTCTTTCTTGGTTTTCTGCACATCTCTATTCCACTCCCAAAACAAAGTCAGAAACTGCTCGTAATATCCATGATAAAACTTCAGCCTGTAAAACATAATAATGAGCACTGTCATACTTCATATCGCTAAAAAAGAAGTAAATGCATTCAAAACAAAGTTGATTTGACAAAAATTACACCATACAGGGAGAAGGGAGTAAGAGGAGCCGGAATCTTCTGATGGGAAACAGGAAAATGAAATGCATGATTCACTGCCCTTCGAAGACTATCTGTCCCTAACTGGCTAAGAGGGACGCTATCTCACATGCCTTCGCTCTTGAAAATGAAGGAAGATTTATTTGTTTTATAAGTTTTCCAGGAAACTGCACTGTATCTACAAGGGGTTTGGACAGTTTTGTCTTACTAAATAACAGATAGGTTGTGCTATGATAAATAGATTCATTGCAGATATTATATCCATTTGTCATATAACACTTCCAAACTGGAACATTTCACTTTTTTACCCACTTTGGCACAATAAAGATTTTTGTACACGTGGAGAATAAACCCATCTCAGGTGAATTATTTGCTATATATGATTTTTTTTTTCCCTTCAGTGAACATAGTTAAATAGCGTGCGTGATACATTTATCTTTTATTCAGTTAGCACATTCCTGGAATGACTATATATATATTTTTTTCTTTAGTAGCAAAAAGACATGATTGTAATGTGAAAGGGGAAAAAGGTCATCTTTTTGGGGAAAAAAAAATCTATTTATTTATTTCTAGAGAGAAGGGAAGGGAAGGAGAAAGAGAGGGAGAGAAATATCGATTGGTTGCCTCTTGTACATGCCCCGACCGGGACTGCACCCGCAACTCAGGCACGTGCCCTGACCAGGAATCCAACTGGCGACCTTTTGGTTTGGGGGAGGACACCCAACCAACAGAGCCACACCAGTCAGAGTGGGAAAAAGGCCATCTTTATTGACCTCTAGATGATACATCTCAAATTCACTTAAGGTGTGTGTGTCTATAGGAATAATGGATTTCTTTTTTGCTTTGAGAAAAAAATCGAGCCAAATATATTTTTCAACAGAGACTGCAATGAGTAAAAACAATAGAATAAAAACAATAGTATTATTAAGCAATTTGTACCCACGAATACCAAGAAGTGATACAAAGGTTCTGCCTCTGAAAAACCAACATCCTTACCTTTGCTCTTGCTGTTTCTTCACAGCATTCCCAATTTTCTGGTGAATGGCTCTGAGGGCAGCATTGGTTTCTGTTACAAATTGTTTTCTCTTTGAACGAAGAACCTTTTTCAAGTCTCCTGCATTAAACATGTATATTTATTAACACGTGATGTTGAAATTATTTTTCCTGCTTGTTCAAGACAGTATGAGCAACAAGATTATTTGCTTCCTTTTTTTGCGCTGGGCAAACTTTCCATTACCGGTACCCCAGTTCTAAATTCTATCGCTGTGTAAGCTTTTGTTAGGGTGCCGAAAGACCCAAGGAGCAAAAGTTTCTACTTACCAAAATGCATAAAAAGGGCCTCAAAGACAGCCTTTTATCTCCTGCTGAGGAAACTGCTCTAAAGGCTAATTCTTGATACATTCATAACATAGCGCCCAACTCAAAGGACCCTCTTAGATGGACACTGTTAGATCTTGTTATATAGAATGCACAAAATTACTCCGTTTAAAAAGTCTCCAGAAGAGATCAAAATAATTTTTAAATCTGAGAAAATTATCTTTAAAGGTATTCAGAGAAGCTTTTAAATATATTTGACTTAAAGGGAAGGACCATGCCTAGTTTGAGGAAATCAGTAAGTTATCCAAGAACACATTCTGAACATCTGCATGAAGGTTTCATGTAGTTTTCACCAAAGAAAAAAGTGCTCCATTGTGTAAAATTTTTAAGACCTGAAATAATGCTTTCATACGCACGTGATTTTATGTTATGGATCTACCATCAATAATTGTTTTCAGTAATCGGAAAGGAGCTACAAGATTACACAAATAATTTATACACTCAGATTACCATGTATAACTATCAATTTATGAGACAGCTCACCAAACAAGCACCTCGGCACCACCAAATAGAGCAAAGATTTTAAAAAAATACCTGCTTGCAGGAAAGATGCACATAGAGGACTCAAAGATTAATTCGGACTCTTCATTAAGAGTCTTGTCCTGTAAGCCAGTTGACGTAACTGATATCCGACAGAACAATTTAAAACTTTTATGTTTATGGTTCTGATCATACGTTGCTAGCATGCTAGCAAGTGTGTCCACTTCAGGGTTTATTCATGTAAATAGAACAATAAAGACCTGTTCTACAGGCTTCAATTTAAACTTCTGCATGGTATATCACTTACTGTGCCACACCAAGTGGAATAGAAATTATTTCACACAAATTCTTCCAAAATCACACAGCTCATCAAATGTACCCATGTAAAACATAAAAGCATCACTCTTACCTCACCATTGGTAGCACGATTCTCTCCACATCCACAATAAAAAGGGAAACTAAGGAAATCCATGAAGCCAAATCACACTAAATACTTATTGTACCTAAGAACAAGGCATTAAATGACAGTCTCGCGGACCACTGACTAATATTTCCCATTGTAAATGGTATACGATTTGAAACAATTTACTTTCATTACACTATCTCCTCTTATCATACCTTGAAATCTTTCCAGCATACTCCGTAATTCATTCCTGTAAAGAAATTACATTAAGTTTTAGTGATGGGTACCTAAAATGCCATGCTTGTTTTGGAGATAAAAATGCAATTTTTTTTTTCGGCATCCCCAATTTTCTAGTTAATGACTTTGAGGGCAGCATTGATTTCTGTTACAAATTGTTTTCTCTTTGAACGAAGAACCTTTTTCAAGTCTCCTGCATTAAACATGTATATTTATTAACACGTGATGTTGAAATTATTTTTCCTGCTTGTTCAAGACAGTATGAGCAACAAGATTATTTGCTTCCTTTTTTTGCGCTGGGCAAACTTTCCATTACCGGTACCCCAGTTCTAAATTCTATCGCTGTGTAAGCTTTTGTTAGGGTGCCGAAAGACCCAAGGAGCAAAAGTTTCTATTTACCAAAATGCATAAAAAGGGCCTCAAAGACAGCCTTTTATCTCCTGCTGAGGAAACTGCTCTAAAGGCTAATTCTTGATACATTCATAACATAGCGCCCAACTCAAAGGACCCTCTTAGATGGACACTGTTAGATCTTGTTATACAAAACACACAGAATTACTCTGTTTAAAAGTCTCCAAAATTCCAGGCCAAGCGTTTCACATACAATTCTTGTTACCTGAACAGACCTTGGTTTTTCTATGGGGTGAGCAAAAATGTCTGTAAACACATTACCCCATTCCTCTCCCTAAGAATCCTGGATCAAGACTGTCTTCTCCATCATTGTCAATTACTTGACTGCTTTCTGCATCGAAACAGAAAATGGGGAAAATCATTAAATGAATTTAGTAATTTCTTTGGGTAAATTGTTCACGGAGAAATCTCTTCACTGTGGAGCATTTTAGGTTTTTTGCCACCAAAAGTTTTTAAGGCAGGCCTATGAAAGCAACAGTGAGCATGCAAGTTAGATGGAAATAGGTCAGGGACCAGGACCATGCTATGAAAACACTGTTGCAAGCCTTTCAGGGTTAACGTCAGAGCCAACCCTGTAGCACACATCAGCTGTTTCGGACAGGAGGAGCTGCTGTGTCAGCTTCTGTCATCCCGCTTGGGGGTATGAGGTTCAAGTGGGCAACCTGCAGGATGTAAAACTGCCTCCCACACACGTGGATTTTACTGATTACAACGTCAAGGACTCAGAAGCAGGGGCCTGGGGGACACATTCCCAGCCCCCCTGCGCAGTATCTGCAAAGGCTTCAGAGAGACAGTACCTTTGGGAACCTCCGCCGACTCTCTTCTTCCTTGTCTCCCAGAGTCATAGGTTGCCCTAGCCTGATCCTCCAACAGGGCCTTCAACTCTCTCTTCAGGCTCCTCCTCCCAGATGGTACCGTCCCAGCATCTTCTGACAGTGACACCTCTCCTGCACCTGGTGTGCGACAACGCACTCTAAAGGAACAAGGACACAGTCAGTGCACAGTGCCGAGCAAGAGACCTCTGCGCAGACCAGAGCGTGCGTGTGTCGGTGTGCCTCTTGTCCGACCAGGAGGGAACAGAGCAGTTGGGGACACCCGACCCTCCCCACCCAGGGCTGTGATGGGGAGGGCTGGCATGTGCCCTGGGACATCTGACGTCAGCCCCCTCTGCCAGACTCTTCCCCTATGCCAGGACAGCGGCCATCTCTACCCCTCGGTCCTCACGGGGCAAAGTGCTGGTCGAGAGGCTTGGCCCTGGGCACGACGAAATTGTCCCTCCCCATGGACAGAGAATAAGCCTTTCTACACCTGTCCTGGGGCAGTCACTTGTCATGGAAAGCCCACCTTCTGAACCCCAGGACCACCTCCAAGGACACAACTATCCTGCCAGGCAGAGGGCCCTGAGGGACGGATTTGGATTCCCACGGCCCCTGTGCACACGCTGGGACCCTCCCAGGACCTGGAGATCCTCACACCTTCTCCTTGCCCTGCCGACCCTGCCCTCAGGGATCTCTCCTTCTGCTCCATCCTGCCAGCCACAGGAGATCCTCGGCAACATCACCTATCGCCCAGCACGTGGTTTCTGACCCGCGGATTCTGGTCCCCGAGAGAACATCACTTCAGAGGTTAGCCTCCTTGCCACAGCCCAGACCTCTGGCGTCCCCTGGAAGAAGACCCTGAGAACTTAGCCTCATTGTCCCGGTTCTGGCCACAGGGGTCCCCGAAACAAGGCCCCCAGAGGGTAACCTCATCGCCCGTGCCCAGGCATCCGCCATGCCCACGAACAACCCCCCAGAGCTTAGCCTTATTGCTGTAGCCCCGACCTCTGTGTCCCAGGAACAAGCCCCCCAGAGTTTAGCTTCAGTGCCCCGGCCCAGGCCTCTGCTATCTCCTGAACCACCCCCAGACCTCAGCCTCATCACCTCAGCCCATCCTTTTGTGTCCCCAGAATGAGACCCTCAGAGGTTAGCCTCATTACCCCTGCCCAGGGCTCTGGGTTCCCCAGGTACAGCCTCCCAGATGCTAACCTCATCACCCCTGCCCTGGCCTCTGGCATCCCAGGAACAAATCCCCCAGATGTTAGCCTCATAGCCCTGACTCAGGACTCTGACATGCCCCAGAACAGCCCTCCAGAGATTAGCCTCATCACCCAGGCCCAGACTATTGGCTTCCCCCTAATAATGCGCCCAGAAGTTAACCTCATTTCCCTAGCCTACGCCTCTGGCATCCCAGGAACAAGCCCACCAGAGGTTACCCTCATTGCCCTGGTTCAGACCTCTGGTGTCCCCTGAAACAACCTCCCTGGGGTTAGTCTCATCATCGTGTCTCAGGCTGCTTGAGCCCCCTGGAACAAGCCCACCAGAGGTTAGCCTCATCATCCCCGGGCCTAGCCTCTGGTGACCCAGGAACAAGTCCACCTGACGTTAGCCTCATCCCCTGGGCCAGAACTCTGCCATGCCCCAGAACAGAACTCAGAGATTAGCCTCAATGCCCTGGCCCAGGCCTGTGGCGTCCGTGGTACAAGTGCCCCAGAGATTAGCCACATCGTCCCAACTCAGGCCCCTTGGTGTCACTGGGAACAGTCCCCCAGAGGTTAGCCACATTGCCCCTGTACAGGCCTCTACTATGCCTTGGAAGAGCCCCCCAGAGTTTAGCCTCATAACCCTTACCAGGCCTCTGGCATCCTCAGAAACAGCCCCCCAGAGTTTAGCCTCATCACCCCGGCCCAGGCCTCAAGGATCCCTGGAAAAAGTCCCCCACCCCCAGTATTTAGCCTCATCGCCTCGGACCAGAACTCTGGCATCCCCGGGAACAGTCCCCTGAGACGTTACCATGGTCCTGGCCCAGACCTATGGAGTCTCAGGAACGAGCCCCCCATAGGTTAGACTCATCACCCGAGAACAGGCCTTTGGCGCTTCCGGAACAAACGAAACACAAGCTAACCTCATCACCCCAGACTAGGCCTTTGGCATCCCCGGAACAAGCCCCCAAGAACTTAGCCTCATCGCCCTGACCAGACCTCTGGCATTCCCGGGAATAGCCCCCAGAGTTTAGCCCCACTGCCCTGGCCAAGGGCTCTGGCATTCACAGGAAGAGCCCTCCAGAATTTATCCTCATTCCCCAAAGTCAGGCGTCAGGCGCCCCGGGAACAAGCTCCCGCATCCTCCAGGCATTCCCAGGAACAGACCCTCCCCCCCCACCCCACCCCCCTCGAGATTA